AATACACATTGTAGTGCTGTATTAATGAACCAAAAACACTTCTATACTTCACGAATGATAATGATATACATCTTAGTGCTATATCAAATCAAACAAAACACTTCTAATTCGCAGCCTGATACACATGGTAGTGCTGTATCACTATCACACAAAATCCGGTTTAGAGGTTCAGCCCCGTTCTTCCAATAAACCGTGGAGTACAGCCCCGTTCTCTTCCCACACAATACAATGTATATAAGCGATTATCATATACAAATTCAATCAATCAATACACAATTTGATGTATTATACCGACCGCTATATTTAATAGCACACTCAATTGATTGGTTTCAGTTTACCTAATCATCATGCATTGTCTATAACAATCAAGACTATCCTCCACTGATAGCCCAAAGCAGTTATTTCTAAACAGGAAATAAATGCATTAAATGGATATAAGATCAACATTTTACAGACGTGAGCGGTAAATGAATCCAACTACACCCTTTAATCCCATACATTTCCAATTTCAACATTCTCAATTTAATGCCTCATTTCTCTAAATTAATTACACAAATTAATTTATCTATGTAATTAGGGCTTTGTCCATAATCTACATAACAACCCTAAGGTTCCATTTCTTCAATAGACCAACATTAATCTCATTTCTCTATGTCAAACATGCATATAGGTTTATATATGTAAACCCCCATCTTTTGTAAAATTACACAAAGGCCCAAACTTTCTCGAAATTACCCAACAACCCCCAACATATCAAAATGCTAAAATTCAAAGACAAAGCTTATAAAGAGGAGTAGGATATTCCTACCTCAAAGTTTGAGCCCAAATAGAGATGAGGACCAAAAACCAAAATGCTCCAAATCGCCAAACTTTCAGATTAAAACGAAGCCCCCAACCCACTCTAACTTTTTAACAAAGGACTTAGGGTAGATTCACACTAGAGGGAGATGAAAACCTAGAGAGAAGGTTTGTAGAGAGAGAGGAAACTCGGATCTAGGGTTTCCAAAATGAAAGAGGATAAAAAGTGATGCTTTCCCCCGCTGCTGCCTACTGATATACAATAGGCTCGCTCGAGCGACCGGAAACAAAGAAATCTCGCTCAAGCGTAGAAAGCCTCAGTCGAGCCAAAAATTTAAAGCTTGAGGCCTGCAACTCAGAAACACGCTCGAGCGCAAGAATGCTCGCTCGAGCGAAGGGAACCAAAACATACACCTCGCTCGCTCGAGCAAAGGAAAGCTCGCTCGAGCCAAGAAACACAGCTCTCAGGTTTGAATGAGACGCAAACGCACGCTCGAGCGCAAGACTTCTCGCTCGAGCCACAAGGCACAAAACTCAACTCTCGCTCGAGCGAAGAACCAAAATTCTGGGCAGCAACTATTTGTTTCCAAACATAACCAACTTGTAACCAACATGCCCAACACATCCTATAACTCAAATACAAAGTATTGAAGGACGAAAACAAGATATAACAACAGCCAATACTACGGAACCTAAGTCCGGAACACTGTACAACAAGGGGTAAAACCCGGGATCGCTATACTCATGGTATAAGGAGGATACATTAAAGGATTGTTTGTTTATTCTATACAAAAGAGAGAGTTATTGTTCGGTGGATTCTGAAGAATTCGAGCCTGAAGCTTTGGTGGATTCTGGAGTGGCTCATCGTCAAGACAATTCCGAGGTAAAGACGGGGCTGGAAGAGGCACATAAGGGTTGGTTCAATTCAGGTGTGGATTCGCTAGGTAATTGAGAGTATACCTGTGTAATTCCTTTATATCTTCTTAGTGGATTGTTTTGTGGCTGTTGCCCGTGATTTTTTTTATCACAATTGGAGGTGCTCCAACTGTGGTTTTTCCACGTTAAAATCATTGTATCGATTTGTCTTAATTGTTTGATTGGGATTGTTTTATTGCTTAAAATTGATACATAATCACAAATCAATATCTAGCGAATTTCTAGATTTTTCAGTGTGTATGTGTTTGTATGTTATGTAGGTTGATCCACGAAGCGATGCCAACAACAAAATCATTGTGAGTAATATCTTAGTAAAGATGTTTTCTTATATTCTATTTTCTGATTGTACCAACATGGTAAGTTTTTTTGCATTTGTGATTTTGAAAATATGAATGAGCCTTCTATCTGTCTGATCAATATGATATTTGTAAATGTAATTGACTATGTATAAATGTATTTGACAGACCCTTCTGAGATGTCTGGTATGTGTTGACCAAATGGTCATTATACATCTGTAATGGATTGGACCCTAGTTCGTTTCGTCATGTTATGATCTATTTTGTTCCTTTTTTTTTTTTTTTTTTGCGCTATATGTTGGACCAAAAATCATTCTATCATGTATTGGACCAGAAATCGTTCCGTTATGCAATGATTTTACTATAAGAATGATTTTATTTATGTAATAGAACTCATTTATACAATTTATTCACTCTGATGTCATTCATTAGATTTTAGCTTACTCCGTTATATATATGTATGTAGGTGAGTAGTGGGATATCCAACCTTAGAGAAGTCTTGTGTATATCCAAGTTTTGTGGAGTCGGCTAAGGAGCGCCTCATGGAAGAGGCTTTTGTCTTTTGATTTTTTGTTTTCTTTTGTTGGTCATGTTAGATTGAGTTGTACATAAGCTTTTGAGTTTTGAATGTTAATGACTTGTGAATGATCTATGGATATGTAAAATCTATTTGACTGAATATGAGTGTAAGTTATTAATATATAAAATGTTTTTGTTCATGCCATATATGCACAAGTTCATTGGACAAATTCTACTATTCTGCTTCCGCTTCTGGCCCCATATAACTAAATATTATTTGAATTTTGTCTAAGACCATAAGTGATCTCATGATTACTGGTCGGTTATGATCCAAACATCTAGAGGCGAATTCGTGTCATGATAAGTTTATCCAAGAACTAGATACACAAATACACACTAGTAATTCTATATTTACACCATTACTCAACTAAAAACAAAGTGCACAACTACAAGCTAGTAATTCAAGCGGAACTCATTACACAGCATCTTTATGTAAGGTTAAACAATTGGCTAACCCACCTTGTATTGTAAAAAAAAAGAATATATATCTATATATATATATTTCTCATTTCCCTTGAAAATTCTTTCTTCATTTACCAAAGTAATCTTCTCAAATTTTCTCAAAAAGTGGATATACTCGCACCACATTTATTAAAAGTTTCAAATTTTCATGTGAGGTCCAAAAATCTTTACCAACATTTTCCGCGAATGATCACAAATATTTATTTTAATTAGTCTATTTAGTAAAATATTCCTGTTCCACTTTCTAAATTTAAATTTATTTGTAACTTTTGACAGAGATTTTTTTTAATAAAATAAATATTTTTGAAATTTTTTTGTTGAATTCTGTCAAATAATATTCATATTGAGTATGAAATTCTTTTTTAAAAAAATGAAATTTTACATTATAACAAAATAAATCCTAATTTTTTAATTTTGTCAATTTAAATCCCATTTGAAAATATTATGATTCAAATTGATAAAATTAAAAAATCGAAGTGTAATTTGTTACAAGGTCAAACTTATCATTTTTTTTAAAAATAATTTTTCCAAAATTATATTGTTGTAAGTTTAACATTTAAATTATAAAATTCTACTACATCCACAATCTCAAACCATCACAAATGCTATTACATCTCTAGTGAAAATATTAAAGAAATAATTTATCAAAACAATGAAAATGATGATATTAGCAAAGTAAAATTTTATTACGTTAATCTTAGATTGAATAGTAAAATTCCACAACGACTATCACAATTCACCACACTCATTGCCATTATTACTATCACCAATAATTATATTTAAAAATAAATTTATCATTATCAAAACAGTAAAATAATAAGATTGTGTAAAATTTTAGAGTGTTAACCTTACCTAAACAGTAGCAAAACAACTTCCGTCCAGCATCATTGATGGAAATTTTTATACTCATTATTATACAAAATAATTTTTATCAAAATTACCTATTATCAGTGGATATATTAATTTTTTTTTTATCAAAATAATAAAATAACAATATTAAAAAAATAAAATTTTAGTGTGTTAGTTTTTTTGATAATTCGATTTTCGGCCTAATGGACTGACTAATCCAAGAGATCAATTCCACCGTTCACTGGTCGGGACTCCAATTAAAATTGAGGCAAAGGCCCATATGAACTGACCACAAAAAAATATTTATACTTAGCAGATTTTGAATCTGAGACCATGAAATGAATACACCCCAGAACCCATCCTTTGACCACCATGCCAATCTATTGGAGTTAATTTTAGTGTGTTAATGGCATTAAAATTTCACCACCAGCATTACAAAACCATCACACACATTTTTTTAAATGACAAATTACACTGGTAGTCCATATACTTTGTTACTTGTGTCATTTTAGTCCTTACAACTTTAATTAGCTCAATTTTAACCCTTCATTTTAAATTTTGCATCAATTTAGTTTAATTGATAACGTCGTTAGGGTTTTTGACAAAAAAACAAATCATTTAATTGGTTGAAGTTAAGTTACTGAATTGATTAAGTTTCTAGTTTTACTTCTAAAAGTATAATACATGCTGCTCATATGCACATTTATAATATAAAAAAATGCTACTAATTGTAAATAATTGGACCAATTTAAGACAAAATAAAAAAAAATTGAAATAAAAATTGATCCAATTAAAATTATAAGGATCAAAATAATATAATAGCCAAAGTATATGAACTAATAGTGTAATTTATCCTTTTTTTAAGTCTTTGGCTTCTAATTGGTTCTAATTTAGAAAGGTACAGGGGGAGGGTTGGTTTCAATCCCTGTAAGACCGAATCGATCTCTCTTGTGTTTATGAAATCAGAGTTATCCATCTCTTCTGGTTTCAATCTCTGTAAGACCGAATCGATCTCTCTTGTCTATCTGAAATCAGAGTTATCCATCTCTTCTGGTTTCAATCTCTGTAAGACCGAATCGATCTCTCTTGTCTATCTGAAATCAGAGTTATCCATCTCTTCTGGTTTCAATCTCTGTAAGACCGAATCGATCTCTCTTGTCTATCTGAAATCAGAGTTATCCATCTCTTCTTCACGGTGTTCTTCCTGTAAGGAGTCCTTGAAAGCAACGATTGAGAGTGTATTTCACTGACTGGTAAGTTGGTCATCGTCATCTTCATTTTCATCTTCATCTTTGGCTTTGGTTTTGGTTTTGGTTTTGGTTTTGGTTTTGGTTTTGGTTTTTTTTTCCCCTCATATTTGTGTAGATTCGTAGACTGCTTCTTCCTCTCCCTACCTTGTTTTATATGAAAATTATTTAATTTTGATTTTTTCAGATATTCCCCAAATTTGTAACAGGGGATTTCAAATATGAGTTCCATTGTTTCGAATCTAATTCAAAACCATGGAGCAGATAAAAAAAAATTTGACTTGAAAGTTCTCTCTCTCTCTCTCTCCCATTTCACAAAGAAACAGAGTAAGTAGTATTTTCTTCGTATTTTTTGCGAAGCTCTGAATCGCGAGACCACAAAATCGAACGAAGACAGGTCTCCATTGGCCGTCGAATCTGCAAGGCAAAACCCTAGATCTGAGTTGATCTGTTTTCGATCGGCCTCAGCATTCTGAATATTGGATCCATTGGATCGGAGACCATGCCAGTGGCTGCTTCCGCCATATGCTTCTTGAATCTCCACGGCGATGTCCTCATCAATCGTCTCTACTGCGACGACGTTGGGTCAGCTCCTCTCTCTCTCTCTCTCTCTCTATATATATATATATATATATGTATATTTATTCAATTATAGATTTATATGCTTGAAATGTATGAATTACATATGAAGAATAACTTGCATTGAGTATATATTTGACTTCCTTGATGTGGATTGATATACATATTTATTAATAGAGATCCTTAACATCGCTATCATTTAAGAAAAAAGTGTGGGTTTATAATGGGTAGCAGCTTCTGTTCTATCATCTATGTATGTTTAGCTGTGACTATTTCGGGAAGAAGGACATGTGGTTTCTTAAACCCTAGATTGTTGTGTTGTTGCTCCAAAGAAACTTAATTAGAGACTTTTACTATTTGTGGAAGGCACGCTTTTAGTTGGTTTACAATTGTCAGGTTATTACTTTAAAGAAACTTATTCCCCCTCCCCCCTCCGGCGCCCGTGGAAGGTGTGCTTCCATTTTGTTTTCAAGCATCAAGTTATTCTTTATGTTTATAAAACATTAGATTAAAATTGTATCTTGTGTTTCATTGTGTCCATAAATGTCAATGGTCATTTTCCTTATGATATTCTGAACTTAATTTCATTAATTCTATTGTCTTAGCTGTTTGTTATATGACAAAGAATTTCACTTTATGGCTTAATTTTGTGTAATTTTTATTTTGATTTTTTGTTTATTGACTCCAATAATTTATCCAGGGGTAATATGGTGGATGCCTTTAGTTGAGCTGCTCATATTGTGATATTTTACATCACTATGTGGTGGTTGGTGAGAAGTCAAACACTTCAAGTGATTTTTGGCATTTGTTTTTTATGTCTACGTTCAATTTTTGGCCTTCTTATTGCTTGCTAAGAGTGTGTCTCTTTTTATTGAATACAAAATTTTAACAGGTTCCACATTGGTGTGCTTTCAACTAATAATATCTCCTTTAACAGTGCCATTTGTATGACCCCAAGATGTTCTTCCCATTGAAGATTAGGTTGTTTGTAGAAGGGAACAAATCTGTAATTAATTCATTGCCTGAAGTTGGATTACATAGTTTACTACTTGGTCCCAATGTTCCAATTTCTTTTAATTGTTTCCAGGTTGGTTCTTAGTAAATTTAATGGAAGATGTTTATGGTTTCACAACTGCATACATTGGTCCCACCATTTTAACTTGGTGCACTTCCCTACAGGGTTATGTTAGATGGGTTCAGCCTTTCATTATACACATACTGGAGAAAATTTGCTACCCTTTTTGGATTGTTCTTTTCTGTTCTTCCTTTTTTTTTTTTTTTCTTTCTTTCCTCTTTTGCATAGTAACTCAAGGAATTTTGCTTCTTAAGTACTTCAATTATTTCAAGGGCCATATGTATTTTCCTTAGTTATGGTTCGTTAGTTTGTTCCACACTTTTGACTTACCCTTCTTTAACTGAAGCAGATTTATTGTTATTTATGGATCAAGTTGGGATAATACTTTAGATTTTTTTTTTTTTCTTTAGCATACGGTATAAAGAGAAAAAGGAAGAAGTGGCAGAGACGGAGGTTGATCCTTAATTATATTCTCCATCTTTGGCAAAAAGCAAGACCTCTCCACCACTCTCCTCTCTCTCACCTAAGGCTGCTTGAGGACCTAGGCTGTCAACTAATTCCTTGCCATCTCAAATTTTCAGAAAGTAGCTTTTTTTGTACTTTTTTGCAGCATGATGACAATCACATTCACAGATTTCTCTCTGTCTCTATGTAGGTTTTTTGTTTTCATATTTACACTCTGATTGTTTGGGCATAAAATGCTCTTTACATTTTCTAGCATTTGGTACAATAGAAAACAAAATGTTTTTTTATTCTTTTTGCTTTTTCCTTCCACGATTTCAAATAACTACCCTAAAATAGTTATTTCAAATCCATCATTATAGAATTGTTCAATTCAATTTTAAAATTTAGAGATGAATTATCAAACCTAAATTCGAGTTATCTTCCATAAATGATTAATGCCAAATCCATGCATTTCAAATCCTTAAATACAAACGGAACCTAATAGTCTGAACTTTGTTATTTCTTTCAGGGGCAATGTTGTGCAAGTCAACAGTTGGGTCGCTACGTCTGGAAAGAATGGTATGTGGGGTGATTGGATTGTCCATGACTGCAAAACAGGGGACATTCTAACAAGAGCTTCCAGGTAGGAGCTTATTTAAACAAATCTCATGACTTTTATATGGATGTCATAAGTTATGCGAGATTCACGTATAGCCACAATATCCTTTCATGAACACTATATCAGCATGTTTATTGCCTTGGTGCATATATTATTCTGTTATATTTGAACAAATAAAATTACAAGATATTGTTGAATATATGTAAACTAGTTTAAAGTGAACAATATCTGACCTTCACATCCCTCCTGATAATATCCGTAAGACTGGTTTGGATTAGGTAGATATCCCCCGGAGCATGGTAAGCCATGGATTTTTAGTGTCAAGAATAACATATTCTGAAACTTAGATTAAATTACTTATTGACTGACCAGACTTTTTATTATTATTTATTATTATGGTGACTTTGGTTGGTTGCAGTGTCTGAGTGATGATGAATAAAGAGACACATAGGTTATCTAAGATACCAGATGAAGTTAGAGTGGAAATAGGTCTTTATTTTGTGGATTCACCTCCTGTTCTGGACGAGGACAGCAGAAAATTACCAAAGCTTAATGAAAACACCATAGATTATATTCGTATTGGTTTAACTGTAAGTTAAAGAATTTGATGGTCATGATTATTTGCCTCTGTTATGCAGCATATGACTGCTTTGTGCTGCTCGAACTTTGGTTTGTTGATATGATTTGTGCATTTTGAATTGATCAACCTAAACGGAGTGATTTAGATGTCAACCTGCATGTTAATAATGTGAAATACGTTGGCTGGATTGTTGAGGTAAATCTCTTTTCTTTCTTTTGATGCTTTATCTATTTGATTTCTCTGGTTATTAACTTTATTAGCTGTCCCATGAAATATGGTTTGTGATGCCTATTGGATGCTCTGTTCAAACCTAATATCATGCTCTCTGGCCAGCCTCTTCTTGGTCAGCCAGTAATGGTTAAACCATCTGAAGCTGAAAAAAATCTGGTTAAATTAAAAAGGATCATATCATTGGATTGTTAGCTCAATTGATGGTGCGATAGGGCTATTTAAGTGTTGAATAAACTTTTAAATGTGATGAGACCATAAAGAAAGGATTGGTTTTCCCTCAGCTGATGATTTTTCTTTAGTTTTTCATGTATGAATGTCTAAGTTGATTGGTTTACTTTTTGGGTTGAAAATTTAGCCCTAAATCTGGATGCTTTTAACATAATGCATCTGACCTTACTAAATGATAAAAGTGTTCTTTTTTTATATATATATATATATATATCTTTTCTGAATCCCAGATTAGGAACGAAAAACGGACCTTGGAAATTGGTTTGGTTGGAGATAGAGCAGGAAAATGCCTGTAACTCGTGCATAAGTTCCAAGTTCCATATTTTCCCCCTCTGTGCATAATGATGAATTCAAACATAATTTCATGATGGGGTAACTGTTTATGCTATGGAGATTCACAGGTACATAAAAGAAAATTATCTTATTTTGAATGTTATAGTTTGAAGTAAAATATGGCTTTATTCCCTTTATTCTAAAATTTCATGTTTTATGTGCACTAGCAGAGCATATTTTGAAAGGCTCTTGGAAATTTGATGTTGTTAGTTAGAATATATATTCCAATAATGTGGTCATACATTACAACACAAGTTCATCATATAACTTTGGCAACATCACTCTCCTCAAAACAATTTTTGTATCCCAGGGACTGAGTGTTAAAGTCCTTGTTGTTTTTTAGGTAGAATTAAATTTTCAAAATTGACATTGAAAATATTTGAGAAAAACTCTGTTCTTACATAATGTTGATACACAAATGAAGACCAAAATAATACAGTAGTGTATTTTTCGAAAATTTTAAACCACGATGATGGAATTTTTGTTTTGAAGTGATACGATCAAAAGATCTATCATATCATTGTGTATTAATTTTCTATATGAAAATTTTACTAAGTAATGCTAGAATGATCAAGTTTTGTATATAAATTTACTTGACATTTGATGAAAAAAAAGTACTGTTATACAAATAAAACTACATAGAAAATCAATACACATGTAATCAGGTGGCAACTACTCAGCTTATCATTACAACAAAAGACTATTGAATTTTTAAGATTTCCAGAGAAACATTATTGAGGTTGTAAATTCTGTATAAAATTTATGTCAAAACATCAAGATTTAGCTTTAAGTGTTTCTTTTTGTTGACAGGGGCACACACCATAGGGATTTCTCACTGTACAAGCTTCACCATAGGGATTTCTTCTAGCTATTGCCGCGGGTTTAGGTGCCTTAATACATACATTGGGTAGTCTTGTCCCTATGATAGGAGTAAGTGGATTTGCTACAGCTGCAACTGTAACTGCAACTGCTATAGGAACTGTTGTCGGTAGTTTTAGATAATCTCTTAATAGTTGTCGATATGTTTAGAAAGTTAGATATGCATAGTTTTGGATGATTTAAACTTTTTGTACAGTTTAGAACTTAAGAATATAGTTTTCGAATGCTTGGAATGTATAGACAATTGTTGAATGTTCATAATTTATGGATATAGTTTCTTTTTGATGTTTCAAACAATATTTTGTTGGTTGATTGATGTTTTGTAATGCTTGTTTGTAATATTTGTTAGATTATATACAATTGGTCAAATAGAACTTACTGAATTTTTTTTAAAAAAATTGCATATTCTACGGCAGACATAATAAGTCGTATTACATATTTTGCAACGCACAATCAGCGTCGTTATTTGTCTCACCAATTAACGGCGTGCAAAAATAGCCGTAGAAAAAGTAACAATGACGCATAAAATCTGTCGTTAAATAGTTTTTAACGGTATGTTATAGCATGTCGGAGAAAAAGTAACAACGACGCACAAAATTTGCCGTTAAATAGTTTTTAACGGTGTACGAAGCATGTCGTTGAAAGTGAATGACTTTCCATGACTAGTCATAATATGACGGGCGCTGCATTTTTGTTGTAGTGATGGCAATATCATTTTTTATTCATATGATTAATAATTTTTGATAAAAACGCAGTAGTGTCATGTGAATATGAACCTTAAGAGAGTCAAATGTAACATTTCTTTCTATGTTTGGTTCATTAGAATGAAAGTGAATAGAATGAAATGTTCATTCCTCATTTCATTTGCAATATATTTTTTAACATTTCTTTAGTGAACTAAATATGATGATGAACATTTTTATAGAATAACTATTCTGGTCCACTTTAATTTTAATGGACTAAACCTACCTCATGTTACTAGACCTTTTAGATATGAGAAGACCTTTTAGATCCTGAACAGAAATTAGTCTTCATATCTTCTTGTTTAAATCTTGCTTCTGTGCTTATGTTTGTGCAGGCTGTTGTGTGGTATAGTTTGGGGGTGAAAAATGCTTCAAAAGTTATTAGACTCCACCTGTCTATCCATCTGTCTTTTCTACCTACTAACAGAAAGGAATGCAACCTAGAATGTAGGAAAATATGCAAAAAGGTATAAAAGTAAAAGTTTTTAGAGTGGTTTTAAACTAACTTGCTGAATGTTCAAAGGTATAGAAATGGATGATGGTAGGAGAGGTGACCCCTTGGATCTCTCAACACAAAGTATTCTCATTAAAATATATAGAAATTAACAAATTCCTTTCCATTAATTGAAGAACAGCAATTTACCAATTCCTGGATGTTTTGTGATAATTTACCAATTTATGGGTGAAAACTGCTCAAAGGTGAAAGTTTTTCAAGAATTTTATGTACATGTTTCTACCACTACTCATTAGTTAACATGTTCAAAACATCAATGTGTCCATCATTTGACAAATTTAAGTCCAATTAAACAACCATTTCACAAAATTGAAACACGATGAAATTTATTGAAACTCAAATTTCAGAATTCTTGATGTCTAATGACACTAGGGTAATGCCCTTTTCTTTTTCTTTTTTTAAGAGAGCATCATTACAAAAATAAATAAATAAATAAAAATCCCAACTAGGTGACTCATGCTACTAAGCCAATCATATGCTTAAGCCAAAGGCCAACAACCCCTAAAACACCTACTAAGACGGATGCAGAACAATGACCAAGATTGTAGTAGCCGAGTTGCAACTCTCTCTTTAATTAACTCCAAGACATTTTCCCAAGAAGCTTCACCATTATTAAAGACAAGGTTATTATTTCTGGTTTTCCAGATAGTCCAAAAAATTGCCATGGATGGGTTTAGCCTCCCATAAGAGCTTTTTGACATTCTTGAATTTGAATCCAAACCACAAATCAAGGCATTAACCGATAAGGAACAACCCATTTCATTACCCACCAAGACAAACAATCGCCCCAAATTTCCTAGATCTCCTACAAAGTAACAAGAGATGATCAAATTGACCTTGACTCATTCCGACAAATATATCAGAGCCCAGAACATGATTCATCTAGAGCATTTATTTTAACCAAAAAACAACAATTCTAAAGGGGGCAATGCTTTGCCACATAAACTCTATTGTAGGAATAATACAACCTCCAGATGAGGCAAACAGGTTATGTAAAGAATTTACTGAGAAGTTACCTGATGGATCACCCTTCCAAATTAATTGATCCATTGATTGGCATTAAGCTGATCAATCTGTGGCAGCATTTTCAATAACCTATGATGGCATTCCTCCTTCTCGTAACATACAAACAAAGTCTTCCTATGTGACGTACACATGTTATGAAATCATTAATGAGACCATCTTTGTTACATCAGACACCCATTTATCAAACAAAAAGAGAAATCTCATTCCATTTCCCCAATTTCAGTAGCACATTAATGGGGACATGTTCAGAAGAAAAAAAAAAAAAAAAAAATCCTTTTAAGCAATGAAATTATGAAATATCCCATCTCTTGTTGTACCAATTATACTTTTCAAAAATCACTCTTTTCCAAAGGGGATTTGGCTCAGATGCAAACCTCCACCACCACTTAATCATGAGAGCTTCATTCTTAAGTTTTAGATTAGAACTACCCAGAACCATAAATCTATGTAATGAATTGTTCATCATATGAGATTATGCTCACTGTAATTATAGTCACAGGGTTAATATTCAATGTTTATTGGTTTGATTTGTTTTTGACAAAAAGGTTCGCATTAAACTTATGGTAGGCAGGGCTGAGGAGGTTGTTGAAAGATTATAAAGTATTCTCTACTTTCCTTTGCCATTTCAGGCACAAGACTACTAATTTATGCAGTAACTTTGTTTAGAAGGTGAAATCTTCTCACCCATCTCTTTTAGAAAAAAAATTCTCCAGGTGAACATCACCTCAGTAGAACCTGTAAGTCTTAGATACTTCAATCTTTAGTTTGCTCCTTCACTCACTCTCTCTCTCTCTTGGAAAAACTCAGTTGAATAACCTAAAAAGGACATCTATTAATCATTGCTGCAAAATGTGAAAAGCAGCTGAGTGTAACTGAAGCCAACCAAAACGAATCAAATTTCAACACTCTGATTATTTGATGAACAAAACTTCATTTTTTTGGGGAAGTCAATATAAACCAAAGATCAAAAGTAAATACATAGTACAAGGAGCATACAAGGGCAATACAAACGAGGATGGGAATTGTCTAAAGCAAGCAAAAGATGAGGACAATACCATTTAGCCAATCTAGGCCTTGTTTACATCTGACATGAACATATGTACAACAGATACAACATAAAGATCATGAGAAGATAGCAATAGCTGCACAGGAAGTCTAGAAAGCCAAAGAAGCAACAACAGTAGCGTCAGCATAAACCAGTCAATTTACCACTGAGCTTTTATATATGACACGTACAAAAGCAGTAGTAGAAAATATAGTATGATAAAAGAACTAACCCGATTTACCAAAAAAGCAAAAAAAGAAAAAGAAAAAGCAACACGACCAGAAGCAAGGAAACAACAACAACAATACAAAATCATCAAGCCACTGCATTCTTTAGGTCTTCAACAAGATGCAACATTTCTTTAAATCAAATGCAACATTTACTTCACCGGACGCAACAGAAAATGATTGAAAGAGTTGATACCATCCTTTGGTAGCTCTTTTGGTTTCCCAAGAATAGCGGTAGCTGGGGCAAAGCAGATAAATGAATGTATTGAACCTGGAAATGAAAACAATAACAAATAAACATTTGACGAGCATCTACCGAAACTTACACCTTGAACAACTTTTACTAAAACCTTAAAACACCACAGGAAAATAATAATAATAAAAATTGCTGAAAATTGAAAAGTAATTGGGTTAGTGTGACTACCACAAAACGGAGATCAAACAACATATGTAGATGAAGCAAAAAGACACCAATTATTCATGGTGAAAATACATAAATTCTAGGTAAGTAATCGATGCTCGAACCCAAAAATTAAGAAAGAAAAAGAAAGACATGGTTGATTATTGTGATTGGGCATGTGATCCTGATTATGTCTGGGTCCTAATTATGTCTGGGTGTTAATGTGAGAAAACAAATTACCATTCTGCAATACGATTTATATTTTTCATCAGAAAACAAAAAGTGTTTATAAATAATAATGTGAATCATTCCAATCAATAAATAAACAAGGGGAAGGGATAATAAAGAACAAGAAAAAAAAAAATAGGCAGCATACAAAACCACCTTAATTTCCGAACTAAAAATAAATAGACCCCAAACCCCTCTATGAAGAAGAATGCAGTGGTTGGTTGGCAAGAGACCAACAGTGAGAACACTTGAAATGGAATTCCCTTGTTTTTCAATAATATATATATATATATATAAGAAATTAATTTGGCCTCTTCATCTTCAACTTTCATCAACTTAGAGCATCTCCAATCCTTTACCAATTTTTTCATCTACTTTGATTCCAAATTTGAATAAAACCGGCTCTTTTGATTTAATATGAAATACCCCAATCCTTACATCAAAATCTTTTAAAAAATTCCTCTCTTATCCCAATTTTTTTCTTTTTATCAAATTTGATGGGGAAAAAAAAATCATCTCAAATACTTCTTCTTTTTTTCAATTTTTTTCAATTTCAACCCTTCAAATTCAATGCTTGTGATTTTTTACATTTAGAAGGGAAAACTGTAATGATAAAAAATAAAAATAAAAATAAAAATAAAATAAAAAAAACATAGCCCAACCTCCCCTTCTATGTATAAGTTTTGATAATTTAAGTCTATTTAAACTTTGTATTTTGATAATTTTTTTAAAAATTAAAATATTATTCTATGAAATTGAACAGAATAAATCATATTTATATATATGATAGAATTATGTGGTATGATATGTATTATTTTTTGATTTATTATACATCTAATGATATAGACCCCAATTCTATTACTATATTATTTTGGGTGAATTTATAAGACTTTAACATTTCTTCCGAATTTGTAAAAAAAAAAAAAAAATTACGTGTGTAACTTTTCTCAACACATAAATATAAAACAAATATTAAGATAATTCTCTCATCTAAACAAAACTACTAAGATAATTCATTGAACTAATAAAGAAGCAAAAGAAAATACATGTATATACAAATGACTAATTTTATTAATACATAAATCATACTTGCATAACAAATAACTAATTTTATTAATAAGTATATCATTAAGTAAATTAATAATTTTTAATGATATGAAAAATATTTTAGTTAGCCATTTTGTTAATAAATAAATCATTAAGAAAATTAATATTTTTTAATGATATGAGAAATAGTTTTTAATAAATAATTTTGATAATTTATTATATTGGAGAATAGTTTTTTTTTTCTTGTGTTAAATTAAAATTTATAATAAATAATAGTTATAATTTCTAGTATTATAGGATTGATTCATATTTTAAACAAATTTTATAGGTGTATTTATAATTTGTAAAAAAATAAAAAATTTATGTTACATAATTGACCAATAATATTTGCATAATTACACTCAAATTGTTTCACCAACCAAATTAAAGGACAAAATAACAATTTGAAAATAAACTAAGGGAAAAATAAGAAAAAAAATAGCAAGCCACAAGCAGCAAACCGTCTCTTATATATATATATATATATGTATATATTATAAGTAATACACAACAGGTTCTGTTGTGATGAGATGAGGAGATGCGACACTGTTAGCATTGATAAAAATAATAAAATAATAATTTTGATATATTTAATTTGGGTGATTTTTGAGTACCTGCTAGTTTTGATTGCCCATATCGCACAGTTTATTCCTCTACTTCAAAGATGTATTCGCCTTCTATGAAGACTGCAGGAATGGGAGCTATGAGGGGCCAATATTGGCCTTTCCCCTTTTCACACCTCCGTTTCATTATTGGACATCCTTGGAATTGAAGTATCGAAAGCGAGGGAAGCAGCCCTCCTTGCTCGGGAAAAGATGCGAGCCTAGGGCAATTTATGAAAGCAAGATTGGTGAGGTTTTGAATGGTCTCCACGGAAGAAGATATCTTCTCCAGATTTGGGAAATCATAAGTCCACAGAGTCGTCAAAGAGGTGGGCAGCAACATCCCATCTACTGGAAAGGTGGACACCGAATAATATTCTTCTTCTTCTTCTTCTTCTGATACGTTACTTGGACTTCCAAGAAAGAAGGTATTAAGAGAGGAGAATCTGTGCAAACCCCACTCTGATAGGGGCTTACCAATCTTCATATTCTTGATGCTAAGAAAAGTGAGGTTGGTGAGGAAATTCCCTTTCTCTAGAATGTAGGAGGAGACGATTCCTCCTCCTGCAGGCCAACTTTCTATCACCAGGGAAGCGAGGAGGCTGTTGTTGAATAAACTAGGGACCGATTCTAGTTTTTTGCAATTTTCTATAAACAAAACTGACAGTTTTGTTGGGGGGTGGTGGACCCATTCTTCCCGAAGGGACTCCAGATTATCACACCCTTTTATCCTCAAGAACTCCAGATTAGAATCGTGCGCTGTCCACCCAGGTAAGGACCGCAGAGCTTTACATCTCCATATAAGAAGTTGTTTTAGGCTAGGCGGAAAGCCTGTCTCTGAAAAAGATACCAGACTTGGACACTCCATGATACGCATCTCTCGAAGAGAAGTGAAGGTATGTAGCCACCGTGGCAGTTTCTCCAGCTTTTCACATTCCTCTATACTTAGATACTCAAGTCTCACCATCGAAGGCACTCCCTCTTGTTGATGTTGCCCTTCGTTTTCTACATCCTCGTCTTCTTCAAACAAAGAAACAAGTTGCGGACAAAAACGAATTTCCAAACGTTGCAAGGCCAGGAGAGTGTGTTGTAGTCCCGCCTCATTCTGCCACAGTGTTGTGAGTTCTTTACACCAATCAATCTTCAATTCTTTGAGTCCTTCAAGCCCCTGGGTAAGCCATTTTGGCAATAATGCAAGTTTTTGAATCTTCCCAATGCTCAAGGAAGTTACTGAACTCAGATGCTTAGACATTGCATTTGCCAACATCACTTCATCATCTATGCTTGGATTGCACAGGGACTCAGGGATTGAAACATTGCTAATATTCAAGCAAGTAAGGGAACTGGGTTCAAGCACGTTACATGTCTCAAGGAGCACTGGAAGGCTTGGAAGCTGAACATCACTCATGGACAGGGAGGTGAGTGACGGGAGAACAAGGCTAGAAGCTTCAACCAGCAGCTGCGAGCAATTTATAATCTCAAGAGTTTTGAGGCAAGGAAGATTACTTGGCAACATTCCCACAAGTTTTGGACATTTTTTGATGGAGAGCTTACTAACACGAGTGAAGGTTTGAACTTCCTTGTCAATTCCAAAAACGTACCAATCCTCCCATTCTGACATATTCTCAAAACATAGTGTCTCGAGTAATGGAAAAGGTTTGGCGCAATGCTGCCCATAGAACTCACAACCCACACGCTTTACGGCACTCATTCCTTCAATGTGAAGGTCTTTCAAAGAGGGTAGTTGTCCAAGTGGCGGTAAGGAAGTGCAATTTTTACAATTTTGTAACTTCATGCACACCATATTGGAGAACAATGGATCTCCTATCCAAATTGGAAATCTCATACCATGGTAGCCTTTGATGTATAGCTCTTTCAGCTTCTTGTGAGGTTGTAGTATGTCAAGTACTTCTGTCTCAACTGTTTCATTTCGTAAACCATCCAAGCTCTCACTACTCCATACCATTGTTAGCACATCTATACCTTGCTTGTCATTTAAACACACCCCTCTTGCATCCAGAGGATCAACCACATTTTCTATTCCCAATATGCAAAGTTTCCCTCCAAGATGAATCAAGTTCCCCAACTCTTTTAACCGAGACCCATTGTTGTCTTTCATAACAATAAAATTGGATAGTGTTTGGAGATTTGTCAACTTATCAATTCCTCGTGGCATTTCTTCTAAGGAATTTGAATCAATCATATCGAGATGACGTAGGTTGATAAGGTTTCCCATGTCCGCAGGCAATTTCTTCAATTTTGGACAATCTCTTAGCATCAAAGTTTGTAGATTGTATAGGGTACCTAATGATTCAGGTACTACTTTGATATTGGTGTAGGAAAAGTTAAGATATCGCAAATGTTTGAAATCTCCAATTGATTTTGGAATAAGTTCGCCAATTTCATAGCTATTCAAACTCAACACCCTTAAGCGTTTCATCTTTGGCAACAGTTCAAGGGGAACCTTGCTTGTCAAATAACAACACCTATTTTTCCTTAAGGCCAAGGGTAAGAAGGTCCTTACATTCTCGGCTTCATAAAAAGTTTCAAACTTTTTGATTGTGTCAAAGCTGCTTTGCATGTAAGATGAATGTCGAGCACTCTTCAATTTTCTACATTGCTCCTGATCCTTCAATTTATCCTCCAATCTAAAACAAGTATATCCTGCAACTGATTGAGCCAAATCATTGATGAGGTCATGCATCACAAATTTCAAGCTTTCACCACCACTTGATGGTTGGAAAAAAGACCTCGACTGCAATTCACGGAAGTATTCAACTCCTAAATCTTCCATTTGCTTATTTCCATTTTGTTGCTGAAGAAGGCCTTCTGCCATCCACAAGAAGATTAACTCCTCCTCCTCAAATTCATAGTCCTTTGGCAGTATAGAGCAATATGCAAAGCACCGCTTCAAATGTGAAGGGAGATGATGGTAGCTTAATCTCAAAGCTGGGGGAATTTCATTGTCTTTCTCAGTTAAATCCCATATTTTACTATTCAATACATTTTCCCAATCATTGTCTGTTTCTTTGCATTTTAAAAGGCCACCAAGTGTGCTAGCAGCCAAAGGCAAACCTTTACATTTTCCCACAATTTTCTTACCAATAAACACCAATTCAGGATTTGCATTCATGCTTCTTTTCCCAAAGGCATGTTGTTCAAACACTGACCAACAATCATCATCCGATAGATACTGTAGCAAATGGTTTTGAACAGTTCCCATAATCGATGCAACATCTCTGTCACGAGTTGTTACAATTATCTTACTTCCTGAGACTCCATTGTTAAAGGGGCCCTTCAAAATGTTCCAATCCCTGTTTTTCGTGTCCCATACATCATCTAAAACGATTAAAATCTTCTTTCCAATCAAATTCTGCTTTAGCTGAACTTGAACTTGATTCAAATCTTGAAATTCACAAGCCTTGGAAGTAATAGATTCAAGAATTACTTTTGATATTCTCATAGTATCAAACTCATCAGAAACACAGACCCATGCTTGCAAATCAAAATGATTGACCACCACTTCATCGTTGTATACCATCTGTGCAAGGGTGGTCTTGCCAAGCCCGCCCATACCTACAATGGGAAGTACGCCAACTTTGCTATCATTTGACTCATCTCCAAGGAGAAAATCAATTATGTCCTTTTTCTCCTTATCCCTGCCATATATGCAATGCTCATGTATCACTAATGATGTGGAGGCTGGTCTATGCCAAGCTTTAGCAGATTCTCCTGCAAAAATCTTTTGTAAACCAAGGCGACTTCCTCTTTCAAAAATACTTTGCAATCTGGAAGTGATTTCATCTACCTTTGAAGTAGAACTCCTTGTAAAATCAGAAAAAAGAGTTGTTGGATTGAGTCCTTTACCCCATGTAGATATCATGGCCAGTAGCTTGCGCTTCTTGGTGCTAGCTTCTTGAGACACTGATTTTAACTCACACCCCAAAGCTTCAGTGGCAAATTCATCCAGTATGTCATCCAGATCATAAGCCAGGTCTGTGAGATCCTCAAGCCACATTTTCACAGCTTTATTTTCTATTTGTTTCTCCTCTGCATCATCTAAGAATGCCTGAATTTCAACTAGTTCTCCACTCCATTTCTTGAAGAGAGTATGAACCTGCTCCCGACGAGCAAACTTCAGTGGGACAGTTGAGGCTAACTTCTCAAACAACACCTGAATGAAAGCAGTGAGAATGATTTCGCCTATAGGCATTGTTTCCCTAGTGAAAATAAGGAAGCAAGAAACAATATTATATCAGATTTAGAGAAAGACACAAACAAACCAAGAAAAGTATGAGAGTGAAAGTCTGATTGGTTTTAGAATGAATTCACAATTGAGGGTAACAAAATGGAGAGTCATTATTGTAGCTGCTATTATGTGTTTACATACAAGAATATATTCTATCTTATCAAAACCAATGGCTCAAGTTTTTTTACCAACTATTCCACATGCCCGAAAGAAAAATTATTGGGAAAAAAACAATGGCCCTGTTTGGTAGAGCTGTGGGAAAGTGCTTATAGCTTATGCCTAAACAGCTTATAGCTTATAACTTTCAGCTTAAGCTGATTTCCAGCTTATTCTTAAAGCATCTCCTGCCCCACTCAAAGAATAAGTTGATTTCTGACTTCCACAAAACTATAAGCTATAAGCTATAAGCTATAAGCTAAACCAAACACATCAAAATAGCTTAAATTAAGCTGAAAGCTGAAATAAGCTGTAAATAATTTCTGCCAAACAGGCACAATGTCTTGTATGATCCACATATAAAATACCATATAAGAATGTATAAATATTTAGTAGTTCGTTATGGTACTGTTCACATGTGCTCTCAACCATTATGGGTGAGACCATACTGAAGCACTTTCATTAGGTACTTGATAAACAAAGAATGATCCGCAAAGTGTATTTCATTTGTCGGAAGCACCACATAGATAATATCACATGATACTCCGAAACTACCTAATATATATACATATATTAATAAAGATGATGTGATAATGATATTTTTAAATATATAAATCATTTTAATAAAATTTTATTTTTTAAAATAATAGGAAACAATATGTCCCTTTGAAAAATACATAATGAAGTTAAACGCTACTTTTTATTTTTCACTAATTAAAGTACAATAAAGGAATGTTCTTTATTTTACCTAAATAATTTTTTATCTCCATGCTCTAATGCTACTCTTATTTTACCTATTTATTCAAACTATTTAAAAAGCCTCCCAAGACCCTCCAAATGTAACTAGCTAGGAAAAAAATTGTTAATATGGATAGTGTAGTAACTAGCTTGTTGGAGGAAGTAAAATTGAATAAAAATAACTATAATAGCAAAGAAGCGTCTTTTAAAGAACCCATTAAAAATACTCTAACACAATACAAATAGCATAAATACGATGCCATTGAAACTTCGTTCCCAAACAAAAGTAATGTGCAGTTAATGAGGTCACTATGTTATAATCCAACAAAAATAATTATTAGAAGATAATGCATGGCCAGTCAATTGCAAGATGTTCACTAAACTATAAGCAATTAAATCTGTATTTGATAGATTAATAGTTCAATAAAACAGATAAATTGTCCTTTAAAATACCATGGTATTTGAATTACTCCAAGAGGTCACTAAAAGTTTGTCTAGTCGTTAATTTCATAACCGTGGGATTAGTCGAGATATGCGTAAGTTGACTTGAACACCAGTTATCAAAAAAAAAAAATCCAATGGTGAGACTAAACTGACAATACTCCCATGCCATCTAACGTTACTTTATTCTTATTTATTTAGTTTAATGCCATTGGGTGAAAATTTGAAATATCAATTTGTAATTATCAAAAATTAAAGGCAGTGTCGAGGCTTGATAATCATCCTACTTTTATCAAGAAGTGAAATGAATAATTAGGTGATGTGCCTAGTATAATAAGTTAAGACTGTTGCTTATAAGAGCGGAAAGTTGTCATAGAATCCCAAGTTAATTTCAAAATAATGAAACTCTTTCTTCGTCAAAAACTTGTTTGGTAAAAATTGTGGAGATTATTATATGATTTCTTAAAGGGTAAATTACACTTCTAAATTTTTTTACTTATGTTATATAAATCACTCTATGTTAGCTGACCGATAAGTCAATTAACCAAGTTTACTTATGTCTAACATTTATTTTGTTTGAAAATATCTTAATTATTCCTACCTTCTCCTTAACCTCTGCCCTAAAATGCAGAGCCATACCTCTCTCTTCTTATTTATTTTTCACTGTAATAGTGAATGAACAAATTTATACATGATATGTGTGAATACATATGTTTGTGTACGATGTACATATGGATTTAGATCCTATACATTACATGTTTGGAATTGAGGTCTTCATTTTAATGCATAAACTTGTAACATACTGTTAAAATTCAAAGTCATCCAACTAGAACTGTTACATTAATTTGAATTTAACTATTAAATATGTTAATATGACTCGTTCACAACCATTAATAATGAAATAGACATCTCCATTTTATTAATGTAAGGGAGAGAATCTGAATTTTATTATCCTATTTGTCCATTGAGGTGCATATACCCTTCTCACCAAGGATCTTCTAGAGTATTTTTTTCCTAAAGTTTCCTAAAGTGGTGTATTGTGTGGTTGAGATTTAATGCTGAAAAATTGATGTGACTTGTCTTTAAATCTCAACCACACAATGCACCACTCTAAGAAACTTTAGGAAAAAAAAACTCTAGAGGATCCTTGTTTGTATATAATATGAGGATAAATTACACTGACACCCTTTGAGGTTTCCATTTAATAAAGATTTCTTCCTCACGTTTGAAAAATTACACTTACCCTTCTATTAGATTACGCTCATTAGCCTTTATACATATAAGATAATAAAATACTATTGATATTTTGTTCATGTTATTTCAACAGAAATAACAGTTATCTTCTTTAGTTTAACTCTCTCTCTCTCTCTCTCTCTCTCTCTCTCACACACACACACACACAAAAAAAATGATTTTTTTTATTTTTCGTGTTTTTTTTATTTTTACTGAATTATTTTAATATTTTAAATAATTTTTTATTTTTTATTTTTTAGATACACTTAATCTAGATATACCTAGAAACTATAATATTTTGTAATTTTTTTTTAAATTCACCAAATATTAAACAAAAATACAAAAATTCAATAATACTGTAATAAATCTGAATGATGGTATTTATACTGTAATAAATATGGGTGAATAGATAAGAAAGAAAATAATGGTGGAATAAAAATGATAAATTCTATTCATATATAAAAATTTATACAAAAAATATTATAAAAATATTGTGACAGCGATGTTGTAAATATAAATCATGTTTATGGGCATTTTGTTTTAAAGTGAAAGGTCACCATTAAGGTGTGTCATTGTGTTTTAAAATTTTATATAAAATTTATGTTTGTATATTATAACTAAATAAGAATATGTTCCGGTATAATTTAATAATGGAAAGTTGTACAATATAATCATGACAATAGGAAAAAGAAATTGTAAAA